AAGACTCGCGAAAAAAAAATAAGAAAAAAATAAAAATGCAATTTCATTTTCTTTTGAAAAAGAAATTCCAGAACGGTGGAATAATTCAGTAATCATCATTTTTGAATTTAGAGATATGTCACATATTTCTACGTTCGATACCCGCATACTCTGCGACGTGCTGTTCCAGACGCCACAAATGAATATCGGATCGCGGGCATGTCCGATCGAACGTAACACGCGTTATCCGGCGATGCCCTTAACCGCGCGTTACCCGTCGCGAGCTATCGGGAAATGTCATAAAGCGAAGCGTGACCGTGTCATAAATATCCGATTCTGACGTCGAAATTCATCGGACGGTCTCTACGGGAGACAAATTGTGCGACAACCAGAAACGCGACCCGCCGCATTAAGGAATTACATGCATAGGACGCACGCATCAGTCACTTCCATTGATTGCGCAGATAGTAGAATATACGCTGCGTAAATTGTATAAGAAATACCGTGCTAATTAATGAGCTTTGTCACTTGGTGATATTTCGTATACTAATATACATATATACGTGTCCAGAAAGTGTACATGTAATTAACTCACCATTTCAATTTCCGCGGCGGAAAAACGTTTCTATTAGAGTACTAATTTTCGCATTTCCAAGCAAAATGTGGCGAATGTATTCGCGTATCTGACACAATACCGCCCGTAGTAGTGAATGATAATTTCAACCGTAATCAGTAGCCACATCGGTAATAAGCAGCTGATTTAGCAATACTCCCGATTATTCCACATTGCGTTAGTGTGGAACATATATAATTCACAAATATTTGCACTATACCCAATCATCGGAGACGGTAAATTCTATTAAAAGCAGGTACCATAGCGGATGTTGCGATCTGTTTGTCCCACTGCTAATTACATGCACAGAGCATTTCATTCTTAATGAATCAGCGAAATTATGTCGCGTTTGAAACTTGCCGATCTTGTCATTTTTATCCATATACGTATATTGTCGATTGAAATTGCAAGTATGGAATGTATTGATACGTTGCAGGTTTAAATGATAAATCATTACGCGATTGTGCAAGATAATTTATAAAAGCGACATTTGCTTTGTTATTTGTCGCGATTGTTGAAAGGCGTTTAATGTAGTTTTATCGAATTTTAATAAACGCGTCCATCATAATTTCAGTGAAAAATTCTATTAAGCTCCCTTAATCGAGACTGGCTAATGCATGACGTCGCCGGCTGCGATGCATTTTCGATGCATTTTCCAATTCCACCGGGAATATTTTCGCACGAATTTTTTCGCTACGAATATCTTTCTACAATTCGCCTTTCAATAAACTCATAATTTGAGATACTAGATATCTGCACTCTCCGCCGCAGTTGCTATAGAATTTCCATTTTTCTATTTCTCTCTCGTCAAACAAAGGCGGAATTAATTAATTTTCGTCCTGCGTTACGGAAAACCACCTTAATCGCCTAGATTGCGCGACGTCGCGACTTGCTGTACCGCAGATACAACGATGCGCCACTGAATTCTATGCTTAATTCACCAGGCAAGCGTTCGGTCTGCACTGACATCATACACTCGTATCACGCTCGCTGATTAAAATCTTCGCGAATACCGCGCTGCGAGTACCGTTGCCATTGTATAACATTACGTAAATCGAGGTATTACTTAGTTACGAAGGATAGGAAAACGGGACGTGGAAGAAAGATGAGAGGGATAGAGAAGAAGAAGAGAATTCGTGTGCGAACGTTGTACGGGGTTATGGCATGCGGAAAAGAGAAAGAGCAACCCGACCCCGTTGTTTTCTGAGATACGTTAGCGCACCACGAGAAACCGGAAGTATTCGGGACAATGTACGCGAGCGCACATATCCAGGGCGCTTCTGAGTTTAGCTCGTACAGTAGCATTACGTCGCGGATGCTAAACGCTCGCGATATCTCGATGGTGCGCACGGTATGGCGCGTCGCCCGCCCCGCCGCGCCGCGTCGCGCTGCGCCGTCAAGGAAGCGTCTCTTTACGACCTCGTAACAATAAAAATCACGGCGCGACGAACGCGCCAGAACATTAATTACAGCCGCGTAAATTCCTTCTGTGAAATATTGTACACTGTATAATATGTTTAATGTTGGTAATAAATGATGCATACGAATCACCGAATATGATCGAATATGAGAAATGATTGGGGTCATTCTTGATATCTTATACATATTCGGCCTCCATGAAGCATATTAGTTCTGACACGTGAGGATTAAGTAATTGCAAAACTATACAATAGTTTTAGTATATTGACGACGTGTTTGGTCTATCAGTGATAGTTTTACGCACTTTTGCACTCGACGCACGCGTAAATAAAAAACTTTACGTTGTCGCAAATTGATATTGTTATTGTAAACAGAAAAAAAGAAACTGTTGTCCTTTTTTTATATAAAATTTTTTTACAATACGAAATTTTACAATCATTTTACGTCCCATAAATAAAAAGGATTTACAGGATTTTTTTTATATACATCAAACGTTTGAAATATGAAACGTTTGCTCCGATTGCAGGCGTGGAGAAACGCGATATGAAAAGGCTGTAGATTATTATATTTGTTCTACGTGGTATTGAAAAATTACAGGCAGCAACAAGCAGCACGATATTTGAACACAATTTTGCCATCTCTTTGGAGCACCATTTTTATCACGAGATTTACTTTGTATGTAGGTATAGTTATAGTATTTAGAGATGTCGTATATATTTATATTTAGATCGATTTTTCCAAAATCGTCTAAATTCTAGCTGACTTTATTCAGATTGTCCCAATTTCTATGCATTATTCGCAATTTCTGGGTTAGGACTGTGTGAATTTTAATAGGTATTACTTCTTATGAATATGAAGTAGACAGTCTCGCGACCGGATTTTGCATGGCGACGATGAAAGGGACAATACGCGCAATCGCAAGGTGCGTTAAAAGGGAAAGGTATAACGACTAGGCGAAATGGTTGTCGAGCTGACCTCTTAGCTACCGGTAACAGTGTGCTGGCAACGCTTTTCAAACATTTTCACACTTTTTTCCCCGGAGGCCGACCCGTTGTATTCTTCCTCTTCTTCTTCTCTTTCTTCTTCCTTCCTCGACAAGCTGGCCGCAATGAGAGAGCGAGCAAGCGAGCAGACAGACCGCGTACACGGTGACCATAACAAATGCGGCTAACTAAGCGCAAAAGTCTCGCGAAAGCTTATTACTCGATGTTTACAGCCTGAAGGAAACTTGGCCCGTGCTCTCGCAGCGCGGTGTACCGCACTTTAGGAACTCACGAGAGGAGTTCTGCAGTAACTGCGACCACCACGAGTCGTTTGAAACGGGGCCTGTGTGACAACGGGGCCAATCCTGTAATTAACATACTCTCCTCCCTTTCCTCTCCTCTCCTTGCCACTCCTCTCTTCCGCACCCGCCGCCGTAAACATTCTGCGTGCTGGGTGAGAGATCCGTTGACGGCGATGTCGTTGAAACGGATATTTTTCAACAAGAGAATGCGGCGAAGGATGGAAATCACTTTCCGGGAAGTTTCCCGGCGGAAGGAAACGCCGATCTTTCCTAAACCATCCGCTCTCCGTAGCAGCCGTCGCTCTGGGGCGTCCGTTGCGATCGAAGTTAATTGAGTCGTCCGTAATGAGGTTTCGGCCGCTTCTGTCGAGAAATTTTAATCGGCCGAGAGGATCGGGGAAGAAAGAGGTGCCTCCAAGTCGCGCCAACGACGGACGCTTGGAATGTTTGCAAGGAGTTATTCAATTATTTTACGTCCCGTCGGTCCGAGGTGCCACTCGATTTGCTCGTCGCGGGGAGCAGCGAGGGATCAGCCCTGAACAAATTCAACTACATCGAACAGTATTGACGCGATTGAAAAAAAAAGTGCAAAGTAAAATAATTTTTTGTGGTGAAAAAAAAATTGAAATTAAATGCAATTCAGTATAGCAGTATGGCAGTCCGTGTCGGGCGTTATATTGGATAGTCCATGTAGCTATTTTTCGCTCGAATAAGGCAATTGATTGATCCTGGTATGTCTGCCAATTCTTGTCGGCAAAATCCGATCGATTGAAAGCATAAGCTCGATTCTTTACGCAATTTGGCAGAATTTGAAAAATCAAGTTGCGCGCTCGCGCGAACGATGGGATGTGCGACAATTTTTTTCTCGCTACGACGAGCGGTATAAAACTGAGGAAAATCGATTTTGTTCTGTCGAACGAAAATTGAGTTAAAAATAAAAATCTTGCTGACTGATACTCTCGTATTCGCGATCGATGGTCCATCACGCGAGGAATACACGATCGAATCTGACCACGAAAACCGTTGCGCTACAGCACGCACGCTACAGCATGGCACGCACACAGGCCATCGTATTTTCAAACCCTGTTGTCACTAAACCGCCTTGCAAGCAATCTAGCATGGGAACACAGGCATCGTATGCCACAGGCTTTATACCGGGGGTAGTTATAGGAGTATCGTAGGGGGAGGCTTTACACGCACGAGCAAACCGAAACTCGCGCTTTAATATTCGATTTCGACGCTGTCTACATTGAAGCTGTCGATTAATAATACATTAGTAATTACTTCGATATTATTCATATTTCTCGGGCGTATTACAATGTCACGATTGTACCGCCAATGATTTGTATTACGTTGCGCAGCCAGCCATTAGTACATGTCAATATTTATTAAGCCGCTCAAGGGATTATAAACGCCCCTGTAATAATGAAGTGTGCGCGGATAATAAATTGCGATGACGAAAAAACAAGGAGAAATTCATGCCCTTCTTCGCGCTGTTGGAGTATCATAAATTGAAACAATTTTGTTCTCTCTTTCTCTCCCTCTCTGATAAACACGATGATAATCTTATAACGTTCGGACGAAGAATTGAAAAAGAAAAATCGTCAAAATACGAGAAAGAGATGCTTTCGAGTCGCTGCTATTCACATGAATATCGATCCGTTCAAGTTTTAGCACACTTACAAATACGTTTTACTGTTTCAGACTTCGGTATAACGACAGGTCGGCAGGAGGGGCAGTATCCGTGTGCCTTTGTTTTCAACAGCAACGAGACCCGGAACGGTACGTTCGCGTCGCCAAATTACCCCGGACTGTACCCTCGTAGCACGGAATGCTACTACTTCTTCTATGGTCAACCTAACGAGCGGGTTCACCTTCATTTCCACTTCTTCGATGTCGAGGGAGTGTTACCGTAAGTCCAATGAACAAGCAAATTCTTTCCCGTTGCTTTTTCGAGAGATCTCGAAAATGCGATATGGTCAAGTAGTCTGATCAAATTTACTTAAATAACGGCATCGAAATTGCGAGTATTTTCGTTGTTGGCGATCAACGTTGGGCACTAACGAACGATAACATATAAAAATATAATAATGAGAAATGAAAATTAATTAACGCAAATAATAATACGATATTTGTATGGAAAAAGAAGATAAAAGGAGATAATAACAATTATACCAGCGGCAAAAATCGCGGTTAATAAATAATATAATGAAACGTTTACACTTCAGATATTTCGATAATGAATCGAATTGATTCCCTGGGGTTTCGCTAACGTTGAAAGAACCAGACGATGCGTTTGTACACAATATCAGATTTAATCACATCAGAAAACTCGTCGTCTCGTCTAAAATACTCGATAGACACAAAGCGACCGCCCTTAAGCAAATTTAGAATATTTTCGCGAAGGCGAATCGATAGCGCCTCTCAATTCTGAACCTTTGCGGGAACTGGGATGGCTCGTTATATCAAACTGCAACCAAGTTCTCAGCTACTTATTGAAACACGAAGGAAGCCCTGATGAAGGTTCGGCGACCAATACTCGAGAAACAGAGGCAATTACGTGTCAACCAAGCCGCATACTGTTATTAACGAGCGTATTACCCATTATCCGGTATAACAAGAAATATAACGTGCTGTAACTTTTAGAAAATAATATAACGGTGTGGCACAAGTGTCGCGCACATTGAAAACCGAAACGAGGTAGAGGGACGACACAGAAAGAGATAGAGCCATAAACTGTTACACGCGCACGAAAGATAAAGAGAAACAGTATAGAGAAAGGGTGCCGGTCGAGAAACGACCGATGGCGAGAGGAAAACGGAGGGAGGATCTGTGTGCCGGGGTCATACGATAGCTGCTCCTAATTGGGTCGTATTAAATCGCAGGACCATCAATATTCCGGCGGCAACGTAACGCTACGTTCATTACCGGAAGCCGCTAATTAATCATGTTTCGCCAATTTCTGTCGAATTTTATAACAACGCGGCGTGCGCTCGTTTGTCGCACACGGCGCCACGGCCGGGCGCTACAACGTGCATCGCGACGAAGGAACATCGAAGCGAAATTCGCTGGCCCATGTTGTCGCCCTCGGTCGGTTGGTCGGTCGGTGACGCGACTCGCTTTATAAATTGATAATTCGACGTCGTTCGACATCGGCTGTGCGATGTTTCGCTGCGCTATTTATCGTGGCCGCATTAGCCGCCGCATCGCGTCGCGCGTGGGAAGATTTTCCCTTGGCGCTACTTTGGAAAACGGTAATCGTAAATATCGCCAGCCCCCGCGCAACGAAACGAGAGTTCGATTGGACGAAATGCGCCTTCGGTGCTTTACTCGTAGATGTATTTTACCAGCGTCGACGCGGCACGGCCCGGCGATGCGAGGCAAGATGCGGCGAAGAGCACCGGAAAAAGATGCATACTCGACCGTAAATCTGACCACCGGTAAACAGTTTTCGAGATGTTTTGGGTTACGTTCAAGAAAGCACGCTGGGAAATGATCTATTATCCAAATTGCCACTCTTATGTCTTCAGGCCAACTAATGCGAACTCTCTCTCTCTCTCTCTCTCTCTCCCCCTCTCATTCTTGCATGCACAATATATATTTTCCACTCCGCGATAATAGCCCCATCGCTCATGCATCAATATTTCTTTTCGCTACAATATATTGTTTGTCTCGCCGCGAATATGTCGCCGCGCAACAACCGGATGGCCGCGTAAATCTTACTTATCGCCTCTATTTATCTGCCAAGCAACACTATCCCGGTCGCCCTTAATTATGCTCGATGAGATGGCAATAGAATATTATTATGAGACTCAAATGTGCATTTTATATGATAAAAATATAACAATAATATTGTAACGACGTCTTATTAAGATGTTAACGAGTATCTTAATATTGTTGAAACAAAATAGATTATTATTGTTAAGTAGGAAATTGAATTTTGCCAATATTTTTCTCTCTCTCGTTTAACTGCCGTACTTAGGTAACACTTGCATCCGAATGATAAGTAATGATATATAATTATGACGCGTAATGGATTGAGATTGGAAATATTGCTGATGAGAAAATTATAAACGTCATTTATTATTGTGAGATAGTCGAGGAAAATTTTTAAGAAGGGTCATCCGAATTTTATCGATTTCCATCCAGATGTAGATATTGGAACTTTTTACTGTTCCATTTTTCATCGGGTATATATCAATATGTTGCATATATCATAAGGCATATCTTGAAGGAAGAACATAGATTTGCACAGAGACTCTGAATGGCTTATCGAATATCAGGTCAAATGCTTACTAATCTATAATCTTGGTGCTTCGTATCTTCAAATATATACTGTATTGATACATGTATTAAAATACGTATATTCCATCGAAATTTTAATTTTTACATGAATATAAAAAACGGAAACTTGCTGACAGTAAGTAAGAGATAATGAATATGATAGATATAGATTACTTCCTTAATGAAATGCACGTCCGGCAAAGTTTCTGAACTATCAAAGCTTGCAGGAGAAGTTATATAAGTGAGTCATTTAACTACCCAAACCTTAACTCTCTAATCCATTGAGAATTGGTATATTTATTTTACTTGATATAGCCTAATAAAGAGTAAAAGGAAGCGAGAGAGAGAAAGATAGTTATTGAAAGGGTAGGTCTACATTTTATCACAATGTTTTATTTAATTTTATTGAAAATGCAATTCGTAATTCGATACATAAAGTTGAAGCACAACTAAAAAGCTTTTGTCGTAATGTGATAAAAATGGATATATTTTATGATATCATATTTCATTACGATACTAAATATTGTTACAATAATATTATTACTTTAATAATTGTGTATATTTGAGGGAATTATAATATGAAAAACAACTATGTATAAAAAAAAATATATATATATATATATATATATATATATACATATACAACTGGCAGAGAACGCATTTGATTAAATATGCGTAATTACAAACAACGTATATGCGCCATAAAATTCACCATTTACTTCAATAAACGTAATGTAAATGTTAACGATAAAACATCGATTAATTTTTTAACATCAAATATTTAGATTGTAAAATAAATTATGTCTTCTCTAACCGAAAATAGTATCTTTCTTTTTTTATCTCTTTCGCTGATAAGAGATTATCTCTACGATAAATATTATCAACGATCAGAATTTATACTCGATAATATACGAGTGTTATATAGCTTGTATGGTTAAGCAGTATGTATTAATTGAGCAGCATATTACATATTATCGAGTTTTTGCGAATAATTAATGAAATAATTCCCTTTCAATAATTCTCTTTCTCTCGTTTGCAAAGTAAAAGTTCACTCGTTGATGCGAAATTTTCTAGGTGCGAAGCTGTATCAGCGAGCGATTATGTTGAATTCTCCAACTACATGACCAGAGATCGAAAGTATCCGAGGCACTGTGGTCAGCTGAAAGAATTCGACATTTCCAGCGAAAGGAAGTTCTTCCGCGTTACGTTCAAGAGTAACGATCGTCTCGACGCCACGGGCTTTAATGCCAGTTACGTATTCCTGGACGAGGAGGAAAATTACACGATGAAGATACCTGCGAGCAACGGATCGGCACGGCAGGGTGAGACTTTCATGAAATTAGTTAATTAATTATATCACAACGCTTGCTTTACCGCTACCTGTACAGGTAGCTTGTGATTTTTTTTTAAAGCAGTCATAACACTATGTAACTCAAGGGACTGATAAAGTGTAACAGGAAATGCGCCTTGTCAAGAAAATCTTCCTTGTACACGCGAAATTTTTCCCTCGCTATACTGTCGTACCATTCACATTTAGCAAATATATGTATATCTGCTATTTATTATCTATCACTCAACACGGTCCACGGAAAATGCGATACACATCGTTAAAAAATTGCGATACGGCACCAATTCCAACCATAGTATTGAATTTATTTTGCACCGTGTAAGTTCATCATATCTATGTGAATGTTTAAAAAGTCCAAGTTCATACATTTCGCTCGCTTTCGATGATACCTACAATTATTTACGATGGATATTGGAAATGGAAAAATGTGAGCCGTGATGTGTTACATAACTGCAACAGATAGGTATAAGTATATCATGCGCTGCAGTGAAGTATTTGTTATGCTTTCCCGTATTTACAAAAGAAATCGCAATTTTACATATTTCCATTATTATGTAAATATTCTTATCCATTTTAATTCTAACGTAAAAATATCAAGCAACCAAGAAGATAGTTAAAATAGCAGATGAATGAAGATTTTTTCTGAAAGATACAACATATAGAGAATCTCGAGAGAAAGAAATCTTTTCTCTTTCAAAGCTCGAAAGAAATCTGAAAGAGAAAAGATTTGCCTGCAATATTACAGTTAAAAGTACAATACAACATATTTGAATTTAAACGAATTCTAGATTTAATATAATTTTTGAAATGCGACAAGAGTTCTTGCATAGAATTAATACGTTCTCTGAAAACTCAACCAAACGAAGTCTCGTTACTTTTAACAGTTCTAACTCGTACGTTTCGTAGGCAACTACGTCCACATTATGGTCATTATGTTCCGGCTATTTAAATGTCTTGTTGGCAATTTCTATGACAGTTATTTCTTTTGGTTTTTCCTTCTTACCTCTTATATACACGTACACGTAAAAAAACACGAACGGATATTCTGGAAAATAATTGAGTCTTTTGTAACATAAAGGAAAGCCCGACAAGAGAGGCCGGTAAAAACCCCGTAGAAGGGATCTATTCTGAATTGTACGGAGATCCGTTCATTCGCATTCTCGTTCTCTCGAAGAGGCGAAAAGTCACGCGCGCGGCAACGTAAATGGATAGAAGCGGCTTGGAAAAGGTAGCGCAGGCAGAATGAATTAAGGCGGTGTACTTTAGCCCGTTCCGTCAAATCGAATTGCGCGGAGAGAAGCCCGTTATTCACTCGTTTCGCGCTGGCAAACGGGGTCGAATACCTCGGATTCGTGAAACTTTTGTTACAACTTGGAGCATTGTTGCACGCCCAATGGTTGGAGTAGCCCTGGTACCGCTGGGCTTAATAGCTCGAAATACATCTTCGGGCATTCGGTCGCCGGTTAAATGCCGTTCTAGAGCGGTAACAATTGTAGAACGGAAAAATGTGCAAACTCAACGGGATTGTACGATCGAAACGTATGAATCGTGTGATACATATCACGTCGTTCTCCACTGATCCGATCAATTGGATGTTATTAATCGATTCCGCTAATAACTCTCCTTTAAAAACTGTTATCTCCTATTGCACTTTTCAAAGAAAAAAGTTTTCTATTCTGATTCTGATCGAGATAGCATAAAATAAATTTTTATAATATGATTCATCTTGCTATCCCAACACTGTTGTACAGCAAGTACTATTTATAATTATGCAACATTAAATTTCGTATATTATGCGATATTTGGGAAATTGATTCGATGAAAATATAACTAAATAATATAAATTACTTTCGTCACAGCAGTTCCGGCATATGTGGTCAACTAAAATTGCCCGCCATTGTCGTGAAACAAATTGCAAATAGGACTCGGCCGGATGTGACGCGTATTTATAGGCAATCAACGATAATGTCGCGCCCCACTTTTCCCGTCCGCAAGGCGCGAGATTATGTAGCAACGATTTCAATATTCTAGATTCTATCGTCGACTTTGCAATATTTGTCCGGAGGAACTAGCGTGAGATTGCATAATGAACAAACCCAGCGTAACAAGATTCGCTATTAGTTTGAAAGCGATCGTTATCAATAAATTTGATAAATATAAGTGAGAGAGTGGAAGGCAATGGAGAAAGTTCGGAACGCGTTTTCTAAAGAAAAGAAAAGAAAAGAAATATTTAACATTGTTTTACATATGAGAATCTTAGAATCTTTTTCATTTGTAAAAAATACCAGAAAAAGAAATTGCACATTGACTGTCAAAGATTACTATACATGTACAATTGTTACAAAAATGTTACGACGTTTTTATTACGTCACGACGGTTCCCTGCGTTACATTTTTTTTCCGCTTCGCATATGCCCGGCAATAAAAAAAAATCCATGAGGAGTAAACACGAACAAAACGTGCGATATGTATATTACTATTTATGCCATCGTTAACATGAGTTATCACGCGCGTAGTTCCATATGCAGGCCAGACGCGGATCGATAACACCGCGCGACTCACTCCACGGGGTCAAATTGCGAAAAAAAAAGAGAGAGAGAGAGAGAGAGGAAAGTTGATTTTGATGATTGAGAGAGCTATATTATTAAACACACAAGTCAAAGTAACTGTGAAATAATTTTTTTTCTTTTTCACTCAAGGTGCCATGCCTTCGCCTCCGCCGTTGTTGCTGTTGCTGCTGTTTATGAGTTGTCTTTTCGTTGGCGGCAGAAGCTCGCATTAAGAAAAGGCACTCGCAACGGCCACGCGGACGAGTCCTGGCTCAATTTACAACGAACCGCAACTTTAAGATCGAGAGCCATCCAGAGTCACCATAGCTCAACTCACCGAAGAAAGTGACGACCTCGTTGACAGATTCAGTCGGGAGGGAGTGTGTTACTGAAGTCTATTATCCAACCGGGACACAAAGTCTTAAATTTGTCTACGCATCCCTTCTCATTCTATTCCATTCGTCCGCGTCACGTCGACTATTTCGAGGAGAAAGCATCGGCGGTAAAATACTTTTACGTCTAACAGCGTGCAAGAGAAACGACGATGTCATTCGTCAGGAACTCGTCGCAAGCCCTTTACCGTAAACAGGAGAAGTGGGATTAATTGGTTGCGTGGCTAAATTGCCGATAGTAGCCTACGTGGGTAAGTTACAGTCGACAACTAATTCTTCCAAGAAGAATTCTTACTTTTGAAAAAGTATAAGTAAATCTTTTTCGCGGTAGCTCGTCGCCCAAAGACATTTTATGACTCATTGCCACTTCGATTTAAGCAAATCTGTCTTAGATGCACGCAATTTCTTATCGTTGCAATTTCATTTTAATCACAACTTGAAAGTTAAATGGAGCCCGCTGCTACGAAGCAGCACTTCAATTCTCAACGTTTCTTTCAACATTGAAAAAATTATAAATTAAACACCCCACGCGTGTTTTTTTTTAAGCCAGCCGAACAAACATGCGCGAAGGAACACGAATGAACAACTCGCGACGCCATTTGTACTTATCGAAGCAAGTTTCTCCTTCGTGTTTGTTCGCACTCGTGTACTTTAATTGAAAACGGCTTTAATAGATCGTTTACTATATATGATCATTAAAATCTGATTTTATTCAATCAATGGTTTTTCTTCTCCTCTTGTGGGAAACGAATCTCTTAAGTCATCGTAACTGTCTGTCCATGTATCGCTCGAAAGTCATACATACCGTAGGAAAAAAAAATCGCCTTCACAAATACACTACGGACAGACTTTTACTGTACATCCTCTATACGACTGTGATGTTCCCGTTCTTTCTTAGTTTATTAGAGACAAAAAAAGTCTGATCATTCGCGATAGCGAACATTCGTAATCGATAATTAGGTCCTGGAGATACTATTAATCGCCGATCGCAATCATGGAAACTTAGAAAGCGTATAGTTAAGTATTTATCGTCAAAAGTCCTGTTTTAACGCGCGAACGTTAAATTAACAGGAAAATTGCGTAATAATTTCAAATTTCGGATTTCGAATCCAGTGAGAATACGTAATCGACACGTTTAATAGAATATATGAGAGCGATTAACGATTGTAATTCTTAAAAATGCGCGTTCGGTTGAGCGATTTCGGCGATGAATGTTTCAATAATGAGCAATACGTGATCGACCGAATTTACGGGCTAGTGATGATTAAAGAGGGATATTTTGGAAACATTTTTTGAGCTTGTGGACTGCATCAATATTACACAATTCGATATCACGGATGGTAACTACTAATTTCTTCCAGTTCGTATTTCATTATGATATAAAGAATCGATTGAATTCAATAAAAATCGCATTAGTCAAAAAAGAAATTTTTTTTTAAATTAAATCGATACATCTACATGAGGAAGAATTGAATATAATAAAATATATCCTTGTGATCTAATTTTATACCGGAATCAATTTAGCACTAATTAAATTTTTATTGCTCTAAAGTTGATTTTACAATATAATTTTTTAAAGGTGTATGTGGAATGTTATTACCATTTGTCTTGTTAAAGCAGGACTTTTAACTAATTCTTTGACAAATTAAACAAAAATTTATCACAAAGAGAAAAATTAATAAGCGTCCTTTATTTATTGGAATTTGATTATTTGTGCAATATACTATTTTAGATTAACAATTATAAATATATCATATATTAAACCTATATTAAGTAAAATTTTATTTGAAATTAACTCAAATATAATTATCAATTCTAGATCATTTCTTAGAATTCTTAGTTTTTAATTGATAATAAAAATTATTTATAAAATTATTATCATTAATTTTTTATGAAATAAAAATTAATTTCTAATTCCTCAGCTAATATAAGAAAGACGATAGACAGTAAAAAGTTTCTATTTGTGTATTGTAAATAACTTTTTTTAATGCATAAATTAAAAATACAAAACTAATTCATCGAGAATCGAGTTTTTTAATAACAAAATCTTATTAGATTGCTTTATTTTCATACAAAATTATATCTTTGAAAATTAAAAATGTTTTTTTTGTATGAAATATTTATCAATATGTAAAAGAGAAAGGGAGAGACACGGATTTCATTATACTTATAATTTGATACAGCTCTTTTTATGCAAAGTCATACGAGCACATATATACCGCTGGAATGTACACGCACTAAGTTCTCAAAGGGTTAATGAAACAGATACTAGTCCGCTTCAAAGTTAATTTCATGCATTTTCGCATACGATATGTATGTGAATCGAACCGAATGTCCGTTTTGAAGATTGTTGATGTTGATGCTGCTTTGTCACAGAGGTACGACTAAATACAGTACTCATTGTCAATGAGTCTACAATCTGTGTGTAGAATTATTTATATGACGGTCGTACAATTTGAGGAATATAGAAGAAGAGAACTCGGCTCATTGTAGATTCGGCTGAATACGTCAATATAACATTAAGCTCCTTCACTTTCTCAAAAAAATGATTTCGAAAAGAAGTTAGGTAAATTTATAGGCCCGATGTATTTCCTCGAGCTTATTACGAGCGATTATGACAACCAGATAGTGTCGTATTCTAACAGTTCTTCGCACGTCGAGCGTGAATCAGTATATCTGATTGTATTTGCACAAAATCATGTCGAAAAGCATGAGCCCGAACGATTTCGAATTAGCATGTTTTCATGTGAAAAATCAGCATGGAAGATAATACAAGTGTGAGGAATGAGAATGGACTTCTATGAACTCGATATCAAATTGTGTATCTATAGATACATAACTAGGTAGCAATACTGTCATTGTGTACGTTAGACTCTATCGTACGTCGAGTACTTTTTAAATAGATTTATAATATTTTTTATAATTTTAAATAGGTTTATAATATATGTGTTAGTAAAAATTCTTCCTAAAAGTTTCTGATTGATTTTTGCAAGGGAAGTATGTTCACACGATGTATGACTTGTAACGTTTGCGTGTCGCGTGCGAGAAATAAGAGGAAACTGCGTGCGTGATGTGTGACCGGGGATCATTTTCGTTTTCTATTGTTCCCACGTTAATGGAGAATGAGAGAAAAAAAGTGGAGGGTAACACTATTAGCAAATTGAATATTTAATTGGCACTATTAAATGCTTATATGTAACTATCACCATGTAAATATTGTTACATTCGACCCGTTTCAACCGTTGTCACTATACATACCATTACCATACTGTCTCAAGCCGTTCTAATAATTCACGAATCGAGGGAGTCAATATGAGAAACGGTAGGTCGCAGCTTTGACAGTCGGAGAAAGTATAAATCTCTCTGTTATCAATCCATCCCAATGCGTTGCAAAAACAATGGCATCCGTTTCATGATTATTACGCGATTAACTGATCGATTGAGAGTTAATTTATTGTAGCGTATACATATAAATTGACTAATTATATATAATTGATTAATTTTATAATATATATAAATTAGCGTTAATTTCATGAAACTGATGCTTGCAATCAATTGATTGATTGATTGAGGATTAATTTATTATAATATATGCATATAAATTCAACGACGAATTTACGACAATATTTTTTTTTGTAAAGATATACCACTGTCCATGAGTTTGGAAACGTGGTAAATTCAAACGATAGAGAAAATTATCAACGAAAGAAATATCTGTTGTTATTTCAACGTTAATATGTCACAAAGATAAGAGAGGAACTTTACACGCAGTGCAGCCTGCTGCAAAAGTACTTAAAGTTGAAAATTCTTTGTTAAAGTATCGTTATATATATATATATTATATATATGTTCACGAACCTATGGACAGTATCGTGTATCTCTTTCATCGCTAATTTTCCGTATTTACGCCTAAAGAGAAACTGATAAGCAAATCGCGTCAGGAATTCGATAGCGATGTATTGCTTGGAACGCCCCGTAATCAGGCAAGTTGAGGGGCGGCCTAGCGGCGTGCGCTCCTGAGTCCTAGAAACGTAACTTTTATCCTTTCGTACCGCCTATTACTGGGACCTACGAGTCGAGTTATCCGAGTTGCGCCTGGGGCGCTTCAAACTTTGTCCTGCGGTTAAAACTATCCGAAAGCATCGCAGTCGTGCTCCGGAACAAAGGCCCGACCGTTGATCGGAGCACCGACTTCGGTATCCGCTGAAAGCAGCGGATGTATTTTCTTATTCTGTTTTGAGGCTCTTGCCCGATCGTCTCACGCATAAGTTACGAGAATGTAATGCAATCATCGTTACTGTCCTAATAAACCTTCACGTATGAATCCATACGTCAATTCTACGGTTGTTCTTTCTATTTTAACACCACCTTTCTCCTTCACGCCCTCCCCCCCATCATTCTATATATCATATAGAACGTCGTAGATTCATCAAAAATTATTATAAACCGACGCGAGTTTGAAATTGATTTCAAAATTTTTCAAGTAGGTCGTCGTGGAACGTCGTAGGTGGTCGTACCTCGACGCGGAACACCGAACGATCGATCGTGATCGAACGGCGCAATTTGATGTCATCTCGTTCATGTTTGGGGAAAACTTGGGCACCGATTCGCAATCAATAAAGTTCTCCTATCCACCCGAGTTCTCCAACCGGGAAACAACCTATAATGCTGAAGGGGCGGTTAAACTTAGCCGTAACTCTACAAGATCGTTAAGCGCGCAAAGGAGGCTGCCTTGTCGCTTAAGAAGCTACGAAATGAGAAACCCTCTTACGACGCATTAACATCTCAGCATAATTGTTTGAGATAATTATCTCCGGTATTTAGAACTCAGACAGATACACTATCACAAACTTTGTTTGTCTCAGCAAAATTCTTCGGCAACCCCAACCGTATTAGAATTTATCTTTATATTACATATAAAACTTTATAGATCTATACTATGAATGCTACCTAAAAATAGATAAATTATAAATACGGGCTTCTATAATATTTTTGTATTCCGTTATCTTCAGCGCGCGATACCATTTGCTGATAATCCTGTCCGTGATAGGGAAAGAAAAATTTTTGTAATCACGACACTCCTTCGAAATATAAGGTGCGGTCAATGCAAAATTGCAAATCGATGCAAAATTAATGCATAAAACGGATTATTTACTCAATTATAATTAAAATTATTAGTGTAAACTAAATTCCGCGCGTTCTATATTTATAATTAATTATAACTAATTTATACCAATTATTATAAATTTGTTAATGCAAATAATTAATTGTAACCACAAATATAGCTAATTTTATATAATCGGCAACTACAGTCGTAAACCGTGACGTTAAAAAGATGATTATTAAAAATGCATTCTTTTACCAATAATTATCTATAATATTATTAACATCATCCCATTTTTATTAGCAATTCGCAATAAATTAATAATAAACGAAAGATGTTTTCTGTGATACGGTATCACAAAAACTGATCACGGGAAACTGAATATTTAATTTTTCTTAAGCCCGTATTTATAATTTATCTATTTTCAGGTAGCAGATCTATGAAATTTTATGTAATATAAAGATAAATTCTAATATAAATACATAATGATGTCGATGCGATATGTCTAATATACATTTTTCAGATGCGTTATCTCAATAATAAAATTATACTAATAATAGTCACTCACCGAACCGATGTGCAGCAGAATTATCAGCCACAGTAACTACGATGATTCTGCAACATACAACATGAGATCTAAATTAAAGTTCAAAATAATCAATAATCGAAAAAAATTTTTACATGCACAGAAAATTTCGCCTTTCAGTATTATATTATATTTTAAATTATCGAAATAAAACAATCCGAATAAATGAGAAGAAACGACTAAATACGCAAATAAGCAATATAATGCTTACCGCAAAGTGGCTCCACTGGTGCACGATGCCTCTCCTAGGCTCCTATAGGCTCCTATTTTCGAATAGTCAAACATCTTCCTCCACCTTCTCACAGATTGTCACATTTTTTTCTGATTGCATTCATATCACAATGAAGTATATACCACACTAATCTGAAACCTACAAAAAATATCCAGATAAAAATGTTTAAAATAAATGTATAGAAGAATAATTTTTGTAAGCAAGTATCATCATTTTTGTAATTTCGATAGATGCATTTAATAAAAGAATAGTATATTTAATGAAAATGCTTTCTTAGATATTAATTTTTATCAAATTTAATAACAAAAAATCTAATTCCAATATACATATATTACGTGCAATATGCTATTACACAAAGATCTAAAATCTAAAATAATGTATTATACGTGCAAAGGAACAATTACCATCTGTAACCAATAATAAAATAAATTATAAAATGCTTATTCGCAATTTGCCATCGTACCTGGCCATCTTGCTTGCCTCTTCCTCTCTTCCCTTTCCATCGTAGCAATCTGTTTGCTAAAACAAATAAATTGTCGATTAAAATTAAGCGCAATTATAATTAATTACTAAAATACAATGATCGTGCTGCTGTTATATTTCGATAATGCGATGCTCTCAATATTAATCATGCAACGCGTACTTATAATTATATTACGACCGCAGAAAAATTATAATGTATGAAATTTAATATTAATTTCACTTATATTACTTGTTTTGGAATCGATCCATCTCGTATTCGTCGCCCTGGTAAAAATTCCGTTAGAAACGGATAAAATAATGTGCTGTTTTACTACGAGATTTTTTGTCCCTACAATTACGGACAGAAACTGTTGAGAAATGTTGCAGGTTTTAATAGAATAGTAAACGCAAATCGATGAGAAAGACTAACTGATTTCTTAATGGAACGGAACTTATCCGAATTTAGTAAACGTAATTACGAATTTTATTCATTCTATATATATACATCTTGTAAGTTTTAAATGTCTATATCCGCATCTGATTGCAGAATCTGACAGGATATTATCTATATCTGCGGCGCATTTATCTATTTAAAATGGAATTTTTATCAGGGCGTATTCTGCATGTGTAAAACGCAAATGCAATTAATAAGAATATAAAGCAGTTTTGCTCCCGCGCGGTGACGGTCAACTTTACGCGCAAAAGAGCGCCGCTACGCCTAATCTTCGGAACGAGTATTGCAAACATGTTCGATAGAATTATCAATGTAACAAGTACCAAATCTATCTTATGCGATATTTAAATATTATAAGAAATAAATGTCAAGTTGATACAAACTTCGCTTACCAATTAAAAATGAATCGCGACGTTGGAATAGTTCCGGAGCCGAGATCCTTCATCCCGTGTCCAACGCATTCTGCAAATAAAATAAAAATACAACTAGGTAATTGTAAGATGGATAAAGGGCTTCGTTCGGGTCTCGCGCGGTCAACTTTGCGCTCCAAGACGCGATGCGGCGGCGCGGCGTGGCGGCGCGCGACGCCGCGACGCTGTGCGTCCCTTTTGCAATCACACATTTTCTGCATTTCGATCAGAAACAGATAATTATATCTATTCGCTTCAGATGACAATTATGATTTCACATTAAAATGCAAGTTAATAAATATATGTATATACAAGATAAAGTTGTGGATATCCAAAAATATAATTGTCAATAACAGCTGTCGCACGTACGTTCATAATGTATACATATATTATTTCCAGTCGAATATATCTTGCGAAATACGCGTTCAAATAAATCGATAGAAAATCATCGAATTTGTAGTTGTGTGACAGTTAAATAGGCATGCAAAAAGTTATAAGTACAGAATTAATATAGATTTCTGTTACCACTTGATCGAAGCAGCCGCGACGTCACTTAATTAAATTTTGCAGCAACTGACTGTCCTGGACGTGTCCGGCACGTCTTCTTTTTCCTATGGGTCTACCCTCACGGAGGGTCCCTCAGGCGAGGGGTCACGTAGACCGGTGAACTTACCGATGTGTCTGGCCTCTCTCAGGATCCTCTCTGACAATATACGTATGTATGATGTACGGAAAAATCATACTTAAAGACAGAGAGAAGCGTGAGAGCGGCCACGCCGGCTTTTAGTGTGGGACCGACGATCTTCCCCGTACACTAGCGCCCCACATCCACGTTTTCAAAAAAGGAACTACGTACCACGTCTATCTTATAACATTGTCGATCAAATCATAACACGAGAACGTGGACGTGGTTCGTGTCCGTGCTACATACATTCTTCGAGATCGATTGCTGGGGCTTTATTCTCGAAAAATTGCGCATTCGAAAATCCTGTCTCAAAATATGGATAATTCCGGCGAGTGACACAGTCTCCGTGACAATGTTCCGTATCATGTATATTGTTTGGTTCTATTCCGTGCTATATGTATACATATGTAATAAATATAACTGATGGATAATAATAATGATAAAGTTATCTTAGATATTTCGTACATGAAAGCCTAAAAGCATAAATGTTTTAAAATGCAATTATACACTGGCAATTCTTTTAATTTGTTATATATATTATATTATGCATAAAAATGCATAAAAATATATTATATTGAACTTAGAAATTTCTTATACGAACAAATAACAATATATTTTCTATTTATAAAAATTCAAAATTAAAAAAAAAACTTGAAATCGAAGTGAAACACGAAAAACGTACGTGTTTATAATGTAGTACATACAATAAAATATGTAAGAATACTTTATATGTATATGTACATATGTAGAAGAGAGAAAGGTATTTTCATAAAATGAAAAAAAAAAAGCTTATATAATTATTTTACATATATCAAAAAGCACTTTAAACTACCTTCCTATCTACCTAATCTTTAGTCAATCACAATGACTCTCTGGAATGTTGAACATTCAACATTTTAATAATTATCTCATGAAAATTGAGCAAACTATAAATTTCTAAAAGAGCAACTTTTCACCTCGAAGATACGCAGAAAGCGCATATGCATGAGAATCATTATATTCGCTTGCAAATTAAGCAAATTAAAAATTTTTAAAGAAACAATTGCCTATCGTTGAAGACTCGCAGGAGGCATACATGCGTGCGTTCTGTTATTTTCTCTTGTAAATTAATCAAACTATAAATTTCTAAAAAAGCAACTGCCTACCGTCGAAAACTCGCAGAAGGCACGCATGCGTGCGTTCTATTATTAATTCATGTAAATTAAGCAAACTATAAATTTCTAAAAAAGCAACTTCCTATCATCAAAAATTCGCAGAAGGCACACATACGTGCGATATATTAATAACTCTTGTAAAATAAGCAAACTAAAAATTTCTAAAAAAGCAATTTCTAAAAAAACTTCCTACCGTCGAAAACTCGCAGGGGGTAAACATGCGTGCGTTCTATAATACTAGCACTTGAAAATTGCGTACAAATTACCGCCTGTTTAGTAACTAATTAATCGCGCCTACCCCGATTTTTTCACCACAGCCGTTTCAATTTTATGATTAATTAATTACAACGTTCACGATCCGGAATTTGGTCGTTTAAATAGGCGCGAGAAATTTAACAGTCTTATTTATAATTAACAAATATAATCGCGTGCCCTGGAACGCGATTGTTTAAATAGGCGCGAGATATTTCTCAATTTTATGATTAATTAATTACAACGTTCACGATATCCGGAATTTGGTCGTTTAAATGGGCGTGAGAAATTCAACAGTCTCATTTATAATTAACAAAGATGATCGCGTGCCCCGAAACGTGATCGTTTAGATAGGCGCAAGATATTTATCAATTTTATTATTAAGTAATTACCACGTTCGCGGTATTCGAAAAATGATCGTTTAAATGGGTGCGAGAAATCCAACAGTCTTATTTATAATTAACAAAGATAATCGCGAGCCCCGAAACGCAATCGTTTAAATAGGCGCGAGAAATTTAACAATCTAATTTTTAGTTATCCAAAACTTTCGCAAGTCTCGGCACGTAGTTGTTTAAATATCGCAAAAAGTTTTACCATTTTATTAATTAATAAAGATGGGACTCAATTCCCAACGCGGTTTAAATTAGCAAAACGCGGAGAAAATTTATCGATCAATGAAGGGTCTCAATTGTCAACGCGGTTTAATTCGCGCTTTTACAAGTAATCTCTTTGTATTTGTCTAAATATTATATTGTTATTCCGTTTGTTATTCCTGTTTAGTTTTGTTATTTTATTATTGTAGATTTTCCTTCAATCTTTAATAAGATTGAACGAATTCCCTGTAGCCCCTTCACGCATTTAAAGCGTCCTTCGTAAGCTCTTTTGTGCTTTCGCAGTGCCACCTCCTACTAACACAAGTACTTTAAATTTATATTTTATTCACTGAAAGAAATATGTGTTAGACACGACACAAAATTATTCTCATGCTACACATGCATTTATGAATATGAATTTAAGCATGCAATATACACGACCGTATTTAAAAGAAAACTATCCGTGCTATTCGCAGATTTGCCAGAGATAGGAAAGAGAAATTTTCATTCTCTTCTTCAAACTTTCATTCTATTGCCGACTGATGACAGCCAGCGGATAAACGTTTAATTCTACGCTCTTTTAAACAATGCAAAAACGCGTCGCAAAAGGCCATTGTACTAATTAAATTAATAAAGAATCAATTTAATGTTTACTATTAATATTTATTTTATTTCTATTATGTATATTTTATACATGTTTTATTTCTATTATGTATATTTTATACATGTATTTCTATTATGTATATTTTATACATGTGACAATACGCACGTTTAAAATGTAAAAATATAACAATTAACAAAAACTTTCAATATAAAAGATCTTAAAAAATCATGTAATATAAAAATTCTCGAGTCTCTAGAAATTTTCTATCTAAGCCAGTAAATTCTATAATTATCAATATATTTGAAAAATTCTATGATAGACGTATGATATTGCTGTAACAATAATCGATCACGAATAATAGATTCGCGCAGAAACAAAATGAAATGGCCCGCATCACGACTTCCCATCGATAAAAATGAATAGATTATATATAATATTTATCTCAGAACGCGAAATCTATTCTTATGATAAATATATTATTAATTGGTACTTACATATCGTACGTTGTACTCAGCTTACGATCGTCCCTCCTCGGATCTCGCTTGTCCTTCGACGAACCGCAATCAATCTCCATCGTCTCTGTCTCGATGA